CCCGTTCATCATTCTGCTTCCGTTTCGCTACTCCTCTACGGTAGCACCGGATTACATCCGTGAAAGTCACTGCACGGGATCGCTTAATCCTTTAACCCATAGTAGAAATAAATCTTTTCGATCCGGATGATGCTATTCACTCGCGATCCGAAATATTGAATCATACTTTCGTAATCATGTAATCGCAATGGGGTACGATAACCTGAGTACGGTATCCCCGACATTAGTCCTACATCTACAGTTCGGTCAATTTGGTGATGATTTTTCCTCGACTTAAGTGTCGAGAGGAATTTTATCTACTTTTCAAACTCTAACTTAAACAAGATCAGGGCCGCAAACAGGTGTGTAAGTTGTGCACAAAGGTAATCCATTAATCAGGGGGGCAGAAGTTAAGTTTCAAGAATCAATTCTCTATTCCTGTAACACCAATTGTGTGTGCTCGCTTCTATAAGATTTAATTTCTTCCAGAAAATATATATATTGTACATAAATTTGAAAAAAAACCTATATCACAAAATCTGAAATCACATTGGTCGGATCGGATAGTTGTTTTTCGACGCTATTAAAATCATTCAATAAATACAGAGTCCATACCATGCCATTAGCACCAGAATACTAATCATATAACAGTTTCCAGTTAGATCGAAAACGCGCGCGTAAAAAGTAAACTACTCTATTAACTTCAATGTGAAAAATTTTCACTTTTCACATTTCTACTTTAGGAAAAAATTATTCCTTAGAACAAAAATAAAAAATTGCTAAAGATACTTGAAAAATATTTTTAAAAATGATTTTTTTAAATAAATTAATAAACAAAAATATTAAAAGGTACGCAAAATTGTCTTTGCACAAAAGCGGCTCTGAATACTTATATTATACTTTCGTAATTAAATTTCAAACTCAGACGTCTTGTTAAATACTTCTTGCTACACATTGTTTAAAATTAATTAAAAAAAAAAAAAAAAAAAGATTTCCTTATTCAGAGTTGCTACAGAAAATGAATTTTAAAATTCCCTGACTTCTCCAGATAAAATAGAAAATTGTTTATGAGTAATATAAAATATGTAAATTTTAACATTTAGAGGATTGTAGGAAAGCTAATCTATATTATTAAAAACAACGCGAAAAAGCTTAATAACATAGTACAATTTTAGATGCAAATTCGAGCCACAGCAAAAAATAAATTAGTTTTGGAAAAAAAGAATGCAGTTATGAAAGAGAAAAAAGAGGGATCAAATAAAAATACTGAAATAAAATATAAATTTTAATTATTTCAATAAAATCGTTTAAAGTGCAGAAATATTGAACGTATTTAATTATTAACGTCAAATATAATATTTAAAAAATTATAACAATTATTTGGAATAGGAGCAGTTTCAGGAAATTGTGAGCAAATTCCATTTTCGAAATTCCATATTTCTTTATATTTTCCCTGACTTTTCCCGGTTTTCCTGGTTTTCCAGGTCTGTGGTAACCCTATTATTCATTCGCAAATTTCAAGATGCTTCGAATTAACTCTCAATTTAGAAGCGAACTTTCCCATTAATATTTCTGTCAATCTTTACGATAAGGCAGAAGTGTCTTTCCAAGAACGGAGTGCGAGATTAAGTTTTGCTATTAGTTTTCAATTAGAAATTCAGTCAGGCGAAAGGCAATTGTATCGTCTTTAGAATATATATTCCTCAATCTGTCATTCAGTTTACCGCACGCGTACTGGAGGTATCGAAGCGATTCGTGCCAACCAGAAAGATCCCGTGTCCCGATCTTCACGCACGTCCGCGTCAGGGGGTGCGTCGCCCCGCCGGCCTGAGATTGCGATCTATCATTGAATGTTTGCGGGGGGAAAGTCTCGAGGCAAATATATCGAATTTATTTATTATCCCCTCGTCCCGCCCCTGTACGCATCCGCGGGGAAAGGGGGAGAAAGGGGAAGAAAGAGGATGAGAGCGGCGAGCGGCTGGCCGTTTATACTGCTACCCTGGAGAAGCCGCCATTAGCTAACCATATGATTATTTCATAGCGAGCTCGCGAGGGTGCATATCTTTGCTCTTTCAACCCGCACCCCCAACGAACCGGCGGTTGCTTACGCGATTTGCGCGCTGCATCGCGCGAGTGCACTTACGGACAGGAAAAAGGCCTCTCCGAGGGTAGGCTTACCCCTGAGGAGGAGGATAATCGAACGGATGGCTCGTAATTTGTGTGTCGTGCCTGGATTACCAGAGAGCCGGGAAAATACGTGTCTATCCGGTTTACAGTGTCGCGTAATTCGATTTTTGGAGAACAATCACAAGTATCTTTCGTAACCTTTGGCCATAGCCACAATTTTAGAGATATAACG